CAAAAGTTCCAACATTCAAATAAAAAAATTAATTCATAATCCTTTCTAAACAATTTTTAATAATAATTGGCCTGTTTAAACAGGGTAAAGTTTTTTTCGGAAAATATTGAACTCCTTTTGATTCATGGCCAATACTTTTTCATGATTGTAGCCAGGGCTCTTATCCAAAAGCTGTTAGGCTGTAGGTTTACCGTTTACAGGTGAAAATATTGAATATATAATATATATTGAATCATACTATTTATAAAATAGTAATGGAGGAAATGTTAATAACTGGAGCCTGGAGATATTAATATCGGCCCATTTTTGCCGCTTGGCCAAAGAAATATTAACCTTCGCCTTGTTATGAGCGCATTGCTATTCAATCATCCATGTAAACATTTCCTTCCTATAAACCTTCTCGTCCGTCAATTATGAAATTAATTACTACACTGATTTCCCAGTATTTTGAATTATTCCAAGATTTTGTACGAACAATCTGGAACTATCGAGAAATTCACTGTTTTTCGTGGTCCGCTTGACCAATTAATACCATTCAATTAATTAAGGTATTTTTTAAGTTGAGATAAAAAAGTCAATGGCACGAGCGGGATTCGAACCCACGACCTTCGGCTTGATACGCCGCTACTCCATTACTATTCGTTGGTCAAGCGGACCACGAAAAATAGGGAATTTAATTAATTATACTGGCCATTTTATTTGTCACCGAGAACACGACATTTGAAAAATGGAAAAAAGGAAGGAAAATTCAAAAGGTTGGGTTGAGATGGGAAATTAGTGCCCGTGTGAATCGAAGTCACGCTAGCTCAAGTGGTAGAGTAGCGGCGTATCAAATCAAAAGTCATGGGTTCGAATCCCGCTCGTGACACTGACTTTTTTATCTCAAGTTAAAAAACCCTTAATTAATTGAATACTATTAAGAAAGAGAAAATAGAGAAAAAATATATATACTCTATGTCAAAATGTGTATACAAATTTATATGTTAACGTCTCATTATAGATATTACTTCTTTTTGATAACACACAGAAATGTGTGGTGATTAGTGACCGTTAATTGATATTTATTTAGAAATCGTGAGATGCGGTCTGGTGTGATGTAGGTTTCAAAAAACATTTCCTTTATCGTGCCAACGTTTCGATCTTTATTGAGATCATCTTCAGGGCCTGGGATTTACAACCAATGTTTACATTTAACAATTACATTTAGGATGTGGAAAAGTGAATTTATACAATGCAAAATATATTTTTTATATTCAATCAAAGTATTTCTACTCACTCAAAGTGTTTGTCTTCTGTGTAATTGTGCCATTCTTGCGTGTCGTCTTGAGAGTGCCGGTGAGATTTTGTTTTATGTTTATACACGTTGGATTTTGAAGGGGTGGAGAAGGATGTCGGTATAGAAAAGACATTTTTGTATAAGGCGTCGGCTTCTTTGAGGTGAAAAGAGCCGACGAAGGGAAAAAATGTGTTGGTAATGGTTCGGCCAGATTATCCTTTCAGGATTATATAGAAAGGGATAAATAGGAAAAGGAAAGCTAAATTATTGGGAAATTACACTATGTGAAAAATATTTGATGTGTGGAATGTAATGTAATGATATATGTATGTTTTAATATTGAATTTGATTAATGATATTGGCGTAGTTGCGACTGAGTTTACATGTATCTGTTCTGTAATTGATGCTGTGTTTATCTCTGTTGATAAAAACCATTTCTAAGAAATTACATTTATGTTTGTTTTGTTCTGTATGTAATATTTTTGGATTTTTGAAGTCGAAATTGTGTTGGTGTTCAAAATGGTGAGTAGCGAGTGCTGTAAGATTTTGCTTGGGTTTTTTGCCATCATAGATATGTTGCTTTACTCTCTTGTCCAGATATTGGGATGTAAGACCGATGTAAGTTGCCGGACAGTTTAAACAGTTGATCTTGTAGATTACGTCAGATTTATTTGTTATTGGTGTGGGATCTTTAACTTTGGAAAAAAGTGGTTGGATTGTTTTATAATTTTTGAAAGCTATTTTGAAATTATCGGACGAGAGAAATGTGTTTAATTTATGTGATAGGCCTTGGATAAATGGCATGGAATGTATGCGGGTTTGTTTGTATTCGATAGACTTAATGTGGTATTATTTAGTGTTGAGTTGTAGTTGTTGATTATGTGTTGGGGTAGCGATTGTAATGGACGATATGTTTGTATATTTTTATGTACTTGTGGTGAAATGATTCATGGATTAGGGTAACAATTCTGTGAAGTAGCCCGTGTTTATTATTGTATGAAGAGGATGGTGAGTTTTAAAGTTGAGGTAGCGATCTGTGTTTCTTGGTTTTTGATACCAATCTGTGATTAATGTGCCATCTGGTTGTTTTATTACGAGAGTATCTAAAAAGGTATTTTTTTGTTGTTTTCGATTTCATGTGTAAATTGTAGGCGTGGGTGAAAGCTATTAGATGTATCTAATGTAGTTTGAATTTGATCTGTGGGAAGTGCTGTCAATATATCATCAACGTATTTAGTGAGGAAGGGTAATGTGAAAGGAAGTTGTGGCATGACTGTATTTAATAGATGTGTCATGATTATGTCTGCCAGTATCGGGGCTAGGTTGCTACCCATGGCTATACCAAATAGTTGTTTGTAAAATTGATTGTCGTGTGTAAAGTATCCGTTAACACAGCAATGTCGGATCAATGTTACGAACGTGTTCTTTGATAGAGTTGTGTGTGGTGTTATGTTGAGCCATTTATCTTTAATAATGTTCAGTGTGGTGTCTATTGGAATGTTAGTAAACAATGATGAAACATCTAGGGATATGAGAGAGTAGTGTGAGGGGATGTGGATATTATTAATTTTGTTAATGAAATGAAATGAATCATTTACATTATATGTGTTATCTGTGAAACACAGAAAAGGTATTAGGCTTTTTTTAAACAAAATATTCCAAACAGAAAACTAGTTGAAACAAACGTTTGTCTAACTAGTGGACGGCCAAGACTTTTTTGTAGATTCTGCACTATAAAATATTGGACACGTATACGCCAATTTTTATGGTTTGTGCCTAGTTTCGCAAAAAAAATCAAAATTGAAATTTTCCTTTTTTTAACATTTTTATTTTGCCTTTCTACATGCTTAAATTTTTCTTCATCGCCATAGGGCATCACTTGGCTATCAGCGTCTCAGTCGACGGGGATGGCAGTGGACTGAGCTGACAGTCCAACGCGTTGCGATTTGTAGAAAGGGATTGATGGAATTTTTTGTATTAGCGTTTTCCTACTTCTGGAACAATGAACATATTAAGATCACGGTGTAAGGTGATGTTTTCACACATACTAAGGAGGGTTAACAATTTTTCTTAAGACTTTTGATTGGACTGTTCGGATCCGTTGGGTGTTGGAATGCTTGCTTGACCCCTTAAGTCCACTTAGTTTGAGAACCCTGGTATATCTTTTGTAATTCAGTGAAAGTTTTGATCATCTGTCGAGTAATGGTAACAACTGTTTATAAGGTCTGTTTTGTTCGTTTTGTTTTAGTCTTGTGTGCAGATTCCAAGTAAATAGTGTTACAGCTTCCTTACTGTGGCTGCACGTACGTTGGCGGTAGCTCGTAGAAGTGAGAGACAAGTGATGGTCGGTGAAGAGGTGAAAGTTTATTTACAGGTGTTATGTTGAGCGCCACGGTATTTTTGGAGAAGGATAAATATCGAAACCAGGGAAAAAAAGGAAAAGAAGAGTAGAACAATAGAAAGAAAGGGAAAAGGAAGGACAGATACGGTTTCCGTGTCAGGCCCCAGACGACCGATGTAGCGATTCTGGTTCTCTTCTTTCTGACGGCGCTTCCACCCAAGGTTATGATGGGAGCTAAATGATGAAGTTCTTCCTGCTTCTATCCGAGTTAATTCGTTAACACAAGCAAGATATCTTAAGATATTTAGCTTACTTTGGGTTTAAAACGACGATTTAAAAAAAAATGAATACTAATCACAACTATTCTATTTTCAAGCTCATAGACAAATTCTTTTAAATTAAAAGCTAACAAAAGGCCGAAACTTATAGCTAATGTCTCTAGTCCGGAATTATCAGGCCTGATAAGAAATTGGAAATGAACCAACTCACGGGATCACTCTTCACTTGCTGAGATCAGCCCCTTCTCTTCGTAGGAACTCTCCGATCAGCACAACTAGGATAACAAGCCACACAAACACATACACCTTTTTTTTAAATATTTTCTTTCCTCGCGGAGACTTCTTCTTCCTCGGAACGTCTATATCGAACTGACTCTCCTTGCTTTTTTTTCTTTTTTTTTCAATGTCGGACCCAGTGCTGTCCCGATCAGGATCTTGCAGGCCGCGAATTGCTTCCTGCTTCTCTTCTCGGTTCGTCCCGCCACTATTTAAGCTTTATTAATTTTTTTCCCGAGAAGAAGGAAAAGAAAATGTAATAATAGTTGTCCAGGAGAAGTCCTAGGTAACGTGTTCGACAGTGACATCCCATTAAAGGAAACGAAGCGCGAATTCATTTTCGTTACATTTATTTTAATTGTCTACTTGTTGAACAGAACGTCGAAGCACGGCAAATGGATTTGAAGGTTGTCCTATTAAGCCAATTAAGACTAACGGAGTACGGTCAACTTATTGAAATTGATGTTCGAACATGACAGTTGTAGTATTTCATAGTATAATTTTGTTCATAAACAAATGTTGCCATGTTGAGCTCGGTGAGAACACGCTTGGGGTGCATTCTCATAACCAGAACTGCATATGCATGGAACGTCATTTCCCTGGAGGGATTATCCGGTTAGCCAAAGTGGGTTATCTCCGTGAATCCTGTGGGCCCGGGTTATGCAAAACCTGCTAGGGTAAATCCCGTTAAGAGAGAGTTAAATCACAAAGGAATTACCGAAGCAGTGATCAATTAGCAATGTCCTAGTTTTATAAAAGACGAGAACGAGCGGAAAGACAGCCAAAGGATCTAGTGAGGAGAACTAAAGCAATTAATTTTTTGTTCCAGGCGAGAGGTGATCCGGGGAAAAACCTCAACTCCAACATGCTAATGGCGAGGAAAATCGACGAATATTCCAGACTTCTATTTCCGTTCGCCTTCGCAGTTTTCAACTGCATCTACTGGTGGTACTACCTTCTCTAAATGGATTATAGACGACAGATTTTATTAATACTTCAAGTTTGGTCGAGACGAAATTGTACGAGCTTGGTTCTTCTTTTCACGCTCGAATAGAGGGCAAATGTGATGTTAACATATTAAAATATTAGCCTCCTTTTCAAGAGACGCGTTTAACGCACCAAATTGCCACCGTTCCACATATTTTATGGACGATTTTGCTTTATTATCCTGGGTCGTTTACCAACGCCATGCCCATTCCAGGGGGAGTTCAAGCCGTTTCCAAACATTCGCCAACTTTTCCCCCTCTAATGGAGTCAACGACGACCCGAAAGATTCTTCATTTTGTCTTCTTAACCCGATGTGATTTCTAATGATTAAATAAAATTAAGCGGGAATAGTAATACTAAGGAATGTAAAAAGAGATTAAATTTAAACTAACGAAAACATTTATCTATCGATATTTAAAGTTTATGAAAATGTTTTTATTGCATCCTAATAAAAATAGTTTATGCATATTATAAAATGTATGTACTTACCATTGCTATAAATATTATCAAACTATGGATATTTAAAATAATTGTATTATTTTTTTTTAAATTCACATTTCTGTAATTATAATTGATAAATGTTTTTAAAGTTAAAACAGTTTGCTCAAAATTTTACTGTTTTGTTACCATAAAATTTCATCGAAATATTTTGACTTTATTTAGAAATTCCAATTTGGTTTTGTTCATTTATTTTTCACTCGTTTATTTAGATTTTTTAATAATTAATCTTTTCATTCGTATTATTTCTGTGGTGTACAGTTATTGGTGATGAAAACTATGTGAATTATTGACAACTACGAACTTAAATATAAGCATGACCGTAACAAATTTTAATAAGATAAATACTTTACGGCCATAAAAATAAAAAAGTCCATAAATTGCAAAAAAACATTATAGCAAAATGGCCTTGATACATGAATATCATTTATTTCATGTAATTAAACATTTTCACGCCACTTTAACGGTTATAAAATATATATTTGGATGTATAATAATATAAGTATTCTTGACATAAATGTTAACTGGATTTATTAGATGTAGATGAAATATGTATTTACCTACCTTTTTTGCATGTTAATTACATAAGCAAAAAATGTTTATCATAGGAAATAAATGTTAAACGATTTTATTATGTTAAGAGTTTATTTATTATTAGGAGATGCGGGTCCAAAGTCATTTTGTTTAAACAAAAATATACTTTCGAATAAAAACTACATTTAGGCTGACTAGGGGTGGCTACGGACGTGATCATTGATTTTTATTAAATTTTTTTTTGGTGGTAGGTCAAAACCTATTAAACGGGTGTTCGAGCGTTCTTGCTGACGGATTCCAAAAATGAAAAAAAAATCGTACTCTTTCTGTTTTTGTTGTTCATGTATTTAAAAGTTATTATATATTAGTTTATTTATCTACATAAGATTTTTTTTAAATGTTTAATTAATTTTATAGTCTTAGTAAGAGAATCTTAATTTACTGAAATAGATAATTTGAAACTGACCGACGTAGAAATGTATGTTTTTTGTTTTTTGTTAGAAAAAAGTTTATAATAGTAATTTGCACCCTGAAACCCCCCCAAATTGAAATTTTTTGAAAAATATTCCAAAATGTTTTTGAAGGGGTCTGGCACCTGATCATGCTGTATAAACTACGATACCGCAATTCATTCCTTTACCTCGAATTGTATCCAGGCTACCTCCAACACCCAAAATCCAAGATCCAAAATCAACCTATCGAAGTTTGGTGCAAAAAATGAAGTACAAGATTTTTTTATTAAATGATGTACCCGCTACATGATTACGGGTTACAAATGCGTACACAGATTTAACAATAACAAATAATTGACATGTTTATAAATAACCAGCAACAACTGTAGTTTATAAAAATCTATAAGAAATAACGTTTTCAATCAGGTACAAAACATTATCACAATTTGTCAAAGTCAATCTACTTTAAGAATTTTAAGAACTCAGGATTCTTAGATAGATCTTCCAATTTTGGTGGCCGACGTTCTCCCCTTGTGACGACGTCCCTTAAAAATTGGGCAATCCAGGATGACATGTTCGTCGTCCTCAATTAAATTAAATCTCTTCAAGTAAGCCTTGAAGTCGATTTGGTTGGAAAGAACTTTTTAGTTTGAGATCCATTAATGGATATGACCCACATTTTTCCCCACTCTTCTTTCCGATTTATCGAAGTTGCGGGAACATGGTGGAATGTCGATTGAAAGCTTTCGTCTAATGCAGCATCTTTTATCTCTGCATCTGCATCTTCATTCCCTCGATAGCCAAGCGGGCTTTAATCCATATGAAATATCCCATATTCATTTGTCTCGTGTGGTTTCTTACGTTTTTTATTGTCTTTAGAAAAACTCCTTTATCCGTCCTTATTACTGCGTTGCCTGGAACGTCGCAGGATTTCAACCAGTTCAAAGCACAGTATATCGCTAGAATCTCAGCCTGGTTGTTTGAGCTGGTATGGGGGTACCAACATCTGATCCTACTTTTTCACCTTGGCGACTTCCATCTGTATAAAATTGAATTGGTGATGATGTTGTGGTCTCTTCAGTCAAGTTGATATATTTTTGAAGTACTGAATAAAGAAAAATATACTCAGTGTACATTTTTCTGCTGTCTTGCCCTCATCAACAACAATAAATATTTGTTGAATGGAAGTTGGTATCTCATCAGCAAGAATAAGATAACTTCCATTTAAGTCAAATATTTATGACTCTACCTAGACAGCAAACTGTCATGGAGTCCCTTCCAAAACAACAACTCTTCAGAAGACTTTTAGGATTTAGGACGAAGGCTTTTAGCAGCAAAATCGGACTCGTCAAAACTAAACTAACATTATAGAAAAATTTACTGAGGTATATTTGGACATACGGAGTGGAACTGTGGGGTTCTGCCTAGCCATCAAAGATCCAGCGAATTAAAGTCTCCCAATCAAAAGTCCTGAAACAAATCGTCAAAGCTCGTTACTGCGCCACTAACATCACTATCTACAATATCCACAACGACCTCAACATTGCTTTTGTCAACTGATCCGTTCCCGATTCTAAAAGTATCACCCCAACCTCTCGACCCATCCTAACACTAGTGCTCGAACCCTCTCTACACCTTTCCCATCCCGAGAAATCACCACATCACTTTAATAAACGATGGCCTCGAGACCTCCTTGCCCCTTAATTCCTCATACTGAGTGCCAGCATTGGCTGGTTTATCATGGTATTTGTCCTCCTGGTGCAGCGCTGGCATTAGTGTTAGTGTTGCGACCGTGCGGTAAAAAATTCTTAAATCACATTTGTAATATATACAAATATAGGGTATAAACAAAATAATTATTTTAAAAAAGTACCCGATTGATATAAAATAACTTAGAAACGCATGCAAAGACAGAAACCATAATTTAAGAAAAGGTCATTTAAATCAAATCTTTGGTAGTCTGCGAGGTGATGAACCCTCAATTTGATTCTTCTCGATCATTTTGGGTTGCCTTTCTGCTTTGCTGGGACTGATAAACGATGGACAGACACGCTGAAAACAGCGGAAATTTGAAACAGCCAACCCAGTTTAGGCAGACCTGAGCGAACGGTAACGACAAATTTACAGTTGTTTAAATTTTTTTTTAATTCTCGGCTCTTCTGCCCCATTGGCATAAACGCTAGGACACATATCTAATATTTTTCCACCCAACATCATCACGAAACGTTTCAGTAAAAGCCATCACATGTCCGTAGCTTCACTTGTAACTTCATGTTGTTTAGTTCGTTGGTTGTTGTACTAACTGTAAATAATTCAAACATAAATTTTTAATCATTTGCATTGCAATACAAATTGTGCAATTGCAAGTAGTAAAGGCCAAAATTGTTTAATGTAAGTAGATGTAATGTTGTATCAAATACTTTAAATGTCTCTTTTTATAGAGTTTTTTGTTAATTAGAAGAAAAAAATAGTTTTAACTTATTATATTTAATCAATATATGTTTTTAAATTTAAAAAAAATCTTTGTTCACATAAACAATGAATTTGAAAAATATGGAAACTCAAAGATATCCACATGACTAGTCATTCATCTAGGTAGACTTGCCAGAGAAAATTACCTTATTGTACATTTACATACGTTACATTATTCAAAACCACGCCAATATTATTATAAAATACCATCTATAATTATTATATCTCTCAAATTATAAATTTAAACAAAAATTATTAGGTTAAAAAGCATAAATATATCAAAGTAAATATAAATTTTATATTCTTTTAAAATTATATTCCATTTTTTATGCTGTATAATGTTCAGGTTAAAGCAATTGCACGATGCTGGTTAAACTAATAAAACTAATCTTAAATTAATGGTAATATATTTGACAAAAACATGCAACAGCTTTAATTTTAAACTAGTGATGTATATAAAATAGGTATATTGTATAAAAATTATATTTTGTTTAAAATGAAGATATATATATATATGTATAATTATATTCGTTGGTGTAATGTTTATTAAGAAAAAAACAGGTTTAAATGAAACTTTGTCCTAAGATGTTTGTGTCAGTGTGAGTAAACACCAGTTGAGGTAAAAATCTCAAAAAAATCTGATACATTTTTGCTTTGAGCTCGTATGTATTGAATATTAAATGAAACTATATCCTGTGTTATATATTTTCTAACCTATTTTCAAACAAAAACTTTCATTTTTTTAATGTGACATCTTGGAATTTATTTTGCTGTTGTTTTATCAGTATTGTTTTTGTTTTTTTTACGAGGGTTAGCAACAGCAGAGGTCATATCAACCCTCGAGGTGCCGGTGTTTTTGAAAAAAGCCCATTTGTAAGTATGTCGGGTTCGAGTGCAGGGCCGCTGGATTCGAACCCCGGGCTTTTACCTTACAGTGAAGGACGCCGCGTCAACGCCTAAACAGTTGCGGCCATCGACGCCCCTGAAAATATTCTAAAAATATTTATTGCCATTGGCTTTCTGTATAAAAATTTTAACGTAACATTTCTTGTGAAAGTAAGCAATTTTAGACAGCCTTTCTGACAAAAAAATTCTTCAATGTTACGAACTGAACTGTCTGAACTGTCAATGTTATTATTGACGATAACAAACGCTGAAAATACGTCAATGCATATGTATAGTAATTTTTTCATATGCTGGATAATTAATGAAAACATTCTACATCGTGGTCAATAATTGATATAAAATAGCATTACATAAGAAAAATTATTTAAAAATTGCCATTTCTGATTTTTTGGTGATATTTTTCCGTGTCTGGGAAGTGATGAACCCCGTTTTTCCAACAGTGTAGATGGACCAAACAACAAAACGAGTATAGACAACAAAATTATCGAAATCTACTAAATTTCAAATGATGTTTTGTTTAAATGAATTATCGTAGGATAAAATATCGGATAAAACTGAAACCGCGAATTACGCAAAAATGGTGAGCAGAGAAATATTGCATCAATTTTCCCCCTTCAAAACCAAAGTATCCACAGTTATAAAAGACATTACCATTTTTTTGACAATATCCATATTCCACCTTCATAAAAGTTCTAATTTCACCGGATAAATTTTTGCAATACAGTTTTTACCTATTTTTATCCGATTGAATAGTAGATTATCTATCAGATAACAGGGCGAAAACTAGAATTCCGCCAAATGTATAGGGTTAAGTATTTTTCCAATTGAATTTATTTTAGAGAAACTCTGACAATTCTTCAAACATTGACAGATTTGAAATTTATGGAAATCTTGCTTGGTTGGTTGTGTTAAATTTTTGATGATTTGTACAAGAAACTTCGCATCAGTATAAAAGAGGAATAATCGGGTAGTACGTAATGTTTGTTTAGCCGCCATTGTTTTTTCAGCATGGGTTATGATACTTATGATTCTTTACCTCACACACCTCCCAATGTGCAATTCCCTAGTTTGAATAATGCTGCTTTGCTTTAGTAATTATATAGTCAATAATTCATCTCATGATGAAATGGATAAATTGTATTCCTTACAAAATGATTAAAAACCCTCTTTTAATAATGAAAAAAGTAAGATTAAAAAAATTGAAAATAAATTTGTTTTACGAGGGTTCGCAACAGCAGAGGTTATATCAACCCTAGGGGTGCTGGTGTTTTTGAAAAAAAAACCATTTGTAAGTATGTCGGGTTCGAATGCGGGGCCGCTGGATTCGAACCCGGGACCTTTACCTTAAGTGATGAGCGCCGTGTCAACGCTTAAACCGTTACGGCCACCGACGCCCCTCATCAGTATTGTTCATAACAATTCGTGTTGTAGATCTCGTTCCACTATCAACTCAGAATTATATTCGAAACAAAAGGTTTCAGTATTCTAAAAAGATGTTCATATTTCTTAATTTTGTGAATTATCACGGATAATTTCTAAGACCAGATAAAAAAGGTATTGGAAAGCTGGACGAAGGACCTGAGTTTTTTTTTTTTTTCAAATTGATGTTATTCCTGATTTTTCATATATAGTAGTGAAGAGCGATATCAAATATATCGAAATGATTTTTTTTTAATCAGTATTTATGAAAAACGTCAAATTTGCAGTCAGTGACCAGATAATAAACTGAAATATTATTTTAATGTAAGACCTCCATTACTGACTCCACATCGCTTCTTCTGAATGTTTTTAGATATTCTATATTGTAAATAAAGCACCAATTATTGGAAAAAGTTATTTTTATTTATTTATTTACATCATAGGACGGCTCATTTAGCTTTTGCTCATATTATTGTTGAATGTCGAAAAGCTCGGGAGTAGAAACGGCAGCTCGGTAAAATCCTCGTCGAAACTGCAAACAAATATTTATTCAAACTTATACATTAGTTTTAACTAAAATTCAATCTGAATCCGGCATAGGGTTAAAGAACTGATGGCGCAATGCCGAAACTCGTTTGAAAAATCCAAACGCGCAAGTGACAGACCAAATATGTCACCCTGTGCCAGTTCAGCATGAGCTCAACGACTCGCAGATGAACGATGATCATCTTCAGGGCTCAAAGTGTTTGTTTTCTGTGTAATTGTACCATTCTTGCATGTATTGATTTTATCAGGGTTCAAGGCTTTACAAATCTGAACAATTTAAAATATAAATAAATTGGATTGATACATCAACCTATCAGACCACAAAATGTACAATTCTCTTATCAAGTGCAAGGTAATCAAGTGTAATACTTTCTTTCCATTTTCTGTCGAATTGTATATGTCGTGTTGAGAGAGGTCTGCCACTCTCAACATGACACGCAAGAAGAGAATCACTTTGAGCCCTGAAGATGATCTCAATAAAGATCGAAACGTTGGCCCGATTAAGAAAATCTTTTTCTGAAACCTACATCACACCAGACCGCATCTCACGATTTCTGAATAATTATCGTTCAACGGTCACTAATCACCACACATGGTAAAAAAAATTATTTACATAATAAAATTGTCTTGAATATTATTTTATATTCAATCGATTAAATCCATTTTCAAACAAATATACAATTAAATTTTATTATTTTTTTAATCTAAAGTCTAGGTTGTGATGAAAAAGCAAGCGTCACGAGCGGGATTAGAACCCATGACATTCGGTTGGAGTGGATCTAGTCACGATAGCTCAGATGATTAGAGCAGCTGACGACCATAGGTTAAAATATAATTATTTTAATTAATACGGTCAATTATGACCTAAAAATGCAATTTTGAGTCAATAAACATTATTTGCTATTAACAGAATCTAAATTCAATCACCCTAACAAACTTACTAAAAAAATAATTCCCGTACCTGGTTGATGGTCTCGGATTTCGGTCCCGCATTGAATGCGTTAATGACCATAAAAGACTTCTATCATCTTCATCGTCCAAATCACAAAACACACAAACAAACAAAAATAGCACACGATAAATCAAATTCAACCCCTTCCTGGTGATTCGTCCTATGAACGAAAGGGAGAGTTTGTCTAAAATTTCCCCTTTTTTAACTTGTTTTGAACCGTTGCATTGTTTCTGCAGCATGCACATCAAAAGCCGTAAAGACTATATATTTATTGCATATAAATCGAGAAATAAAATTGTTTATAAAAAATTAGATCCTATCGATCACATGGCTTTAAGAATTAGTGTAGGATCGTTTAAATCCAGTCCAATCGATAATCTAATAGTGGGAAAAGGATTAAAAAAAATAGTGGGAACAGGATAAACGAGCCTTCAATGAGGAGACAAATTCAAACTGTATCCTTTTTCACCAAAATTAAATCAAACCCCAGCACACCCTGGGGAAAACCCTACATAAACTTGAAATCCAATCTCATCTCATAAAGTTTTATCAAAGACATCTAAAACATAAAATTCCCTTCATCTATAGAACACAAAACTACATTTCATCAAAAAGAATTAATGCAAAATTTTAAACAATAGTCCTACTTTAAAACACCTCACGCGGTTACTATCTAATATTATTTTTAATTCAAATATATTACACGATATTTGAAAAATGGCAAAAAGAAGGGAAAATTAAAAAAAATGGTGAGGTTGAGATGAGAAGTTGGTGTCCGAGTGGATCGAAGTCACGACAACACAAGTAGTAGCGTAGCGGCGTATCAAGCCGAAGCTCGTGGGTTCGAATCCCGCTCATAACACTGACTTTTTTATCCCAACCAATACCTTATTTAAATATTAATTAACTGAAAAGGATTTTTGGTCAATCGGACCACGAAACCTAATCGAGTATTTTTAATTTCACTTTAACGGAATCGAACAACTTATACGAACTAAAACAAAGATATCTTGAAATAGTATATAAAAATAAAAATTCTTTAATCATTCATACAGATGTATCCAAAATATCTGAGAAATTAGGTGTGGCTACATCATTGATAAACAACAGTGTAGTTTACGGCTATCCTCACTTTATAGTACGTACAGAGCCGATCTAATGGCTATCAATGGAGCGTTAAATGAGGACGTGTCAGATCATAACACGATCATCATTTCCAGCAAATTCTACAGTGCCCCGCAATCGATTAAAGTTGTCTTTGGTACGGAAAATATTGGCTATAATTTTTGGACTATTTGAAAAAGGGATCTGCGTTTCCTTCTGCTGATTCATAGTCAGGTTGGAATAAAAAACAAGCTGGCGGATATAGGCCCTAAACATGCAGGATTAAGAACTGCCCATAAGCGCAGAAGAGTTTAAGATTAAAGAGGATAGAATCCATCCTTGGAAGACGGAAGAGAAGAGATGGAGTGGTCATCTGCAGACTCCCAATTGGCCTTACACGATTGACACATGAGTTCCGTATGTCTTTGTCCATGTGGCGATCGCCTAATCGATGGAGCATTATCAATTTCAACTATAGTGAAGTTGTTTAACTGTATAGCAGGCGTGTCCTTCCCTGGACTTCGTTTCGACATGATTTTCACGCCGATTGGTAAAAAGCAAGTAATAAATTTATTACACCATTATAACATAAAATAGCAAATAAGAATAAAAGTAGGAAAAGAGGAAGATAAAATTTACTTATAAAGACGAAGTTTATTACGAAACTTGTTTAAATTAAAAAGAAGAAACGTTTTCTGGGAAAAATAGTACAAATATAAAATAAAATTCTGAACAATTTACGAAAATTATGAAATAATAAAAAGGATAAGTTATAGTATTAACTAAATTATAATTCTTAAATTATTATTTTGTTGAGGAACTAAAATTTAACTTATATTGCGCCCGCGCGGAATTACAGTTTAGACTTGAGCTGTGGGCGTTAAAACAATTTGGCCTAGCTTGAGGAGGGCATTAAAACAATTTAGCCATCTGTCTTCGGTTCATGAGTAGTCATGTCGCCACCAATTTGAACACGGTAGTACGAACTTAACAGGCTTTAAGTAGTTCTGTTTTGCTTCCAAGCCGGAGAAATACTGGGAAATAAAAAGAGAGAAATACGAAAGTATGGAACAAAGCCGATGGCAAATATCAAGCATAAAATGTTTCTTGTAAGATTAAAAAATTGAAAGTTGAAAACTTCTACAAAGCGTATTAAAAATATTTTTACCATCAGTTCGTTTAGTAAATACTGTAAACTCATAAAAAAATATATATTTTCAGTTGTTTTTATGCGTAAAAAATAATAAATAGAAAAAATGCAATTTTCTGCAGTAAACCGGTAATTTAATGCAATAACGTCAAAGCGAGCAATTTCGTGCAAAATAAGAATAGTGTCAAAAGAGCATTTATTCCGTGGTTCGAATTTCTGTCTTGGATTCATTGCAATCGGAGTGAACTGTAAAAATACATAATTGCATGGAAATCCGGTCTTTAGTATCCACCACCGAAGCTTAGGTTTTAGGGGCTGTCAACAGTTAAGATCATTTCATCCCAGAACGTTTAAACCTAGGCACACTCTTACCCTTTTCGTAAATGCATTCAGTCAAGTAGGCCACTTTATTGCCTGTCTTCCCTTCGTCCGAGGACTCAGATTTTATTACCGAATGCCCAGGGTTGCAGATGCTAACCCGGGAGTTTGGTGTCTTCCAGTGTTCAGCCCCGCCCCCCGAGAGGTAGATAGGTTAGTACCTCCGGCTCCGGTTGGCTGGCGCCCCTCCAGCTGAGACGTAAGTTTACCTTCAAACCACGACCACCATGAATCCAACCTCAATTGGGGGCTACTTGGAATTACCCCCTCCCGTGGTTCAGCAATTTCTTTTAAGGTGGGACTGTTCGCCCGCCCGGGGACTTCAACCCTACCGTTCTCACCCTTTACCGAGAAGTGAAGGTTCAGGAACCAAGGAAGCCTCCGCCAAAGCAGAGGGAGAAGGGTAGGACTTTTAAGGAAGGGAAAGGAAGGATTGGGAAGGTATGGGAAGTTTGCCTCCATATTCGGTTACTCCTATACGCCAGAGCCGATGGTAGGTCTTGTCTAGGGCCAAAGGGAAGTTGCTCTGTGTGAGAACTCAAGTAGGGCTTGGTAATATTCGATATTCGTCCATTACACTTTGCACATACTACGTAACTAATCGAACTGAGAAACCATGGGTATTCGCCATCACCTTCTAACACTACACATTCACTCAAATAAGTACATTCACTCTCAATAGGACGCAACAATGGGAAACAGAAAATAAATTAAATATCTATACAGTACTATACGTACAGAATAAACCAGGCAAGTTTTCTTCAAAACTTGGAACAGAGGACCCTAAGACTTACTGCGGTGTTCAAGCACAATTCTCATATCGGACGCCATTCCTGCACGCTCTATATATGGAGCAAAGGAATAATATCCTTCAATTAACATATCGGACAAATAGTCCCCACATGCCGAAGACAAACGACTGTGTCAACGTATCTCCGGTCTATTTTTAATCGGGTGGGTATGATCCCTCTTCTTCAATTCAGATCGTCTGAGACCCACCTATTGACCGCGCTCATAACGTGAGAGCTTCTTTGCCGACTCGGGCCAACGACCATGCTGTTCCTTTGGTCATCGTTTTTATTGCATTTCTAGCATCAGAGGTTAGGTCGAGAGGTTAGACGTTCCGACCTCCTGGTCCGCCTTTTTGTCACCCTCCAGACCTGTGTGTCCCGGACCACCATTTACTGAGACGCTCCAGTAAATGGAATCTCTTCAACAAAAGCACGATGAGAGGGTCCACGGAGGACCTGTCATTGACAGCACTAACCGTATGTAAACACATGAAGTGGACGCACCCTTGCCGTTTTTAGAGCCATCCATGAAGACGAGGCCGGATATACAGAATGTGTGTATAAAAAATAAAATTGGTTTGATGTTATTCGTTACCGTTTTTATTTATTTCTATTCTTTTGTTGCTTCGAAGTAAAATACAAACACTTTTAGTTGTGCAATAAAATTATAAATGTAAATATAATTATCTCTAAGTTTGGTACGTCTTGTGACGGATTCATCCATTAATGTTCCTCACTGAAGTTTCCAATGCATTTAATTTATTGACATCCATTTAAACAAATAATTTTATTTATGTTCAATTTTGACCTGATTTGAAATAACTGTTCTGTTTTAGACGTCTTTGACTTCTAGAAATGGCAGACTAACAAATTTTTAATTGGTAAATTTAAAAAAATATGTTTATTAATAACCATATGTATTAGTAGATAACAAACTATTTCCTAAAAGTAAAAACAAGCTTTAAACTATTACCCTTCAGTTGAACTTCCGGCGGCAGGGGAAAACAAGCCCAGAAAAGCGATGACAATAAGGATTGCTATGACCAAGAATCCCAATACGAAAAGTAACACAAGAACGGCCTTCCTCGGCGAGCATTTGCACATCTTGGTACATGGATAAAGTAATTAAATAACAAAACCATATGGAAAATGGGGCTGGTCAAAACGGATCAGGCCTCGTATAAAGTAACAAAGGGTAATGAAGAAAAAAAATTGGTAAATTTCGATTTTCAAGAAAGCGTGAACGAAAGAACGGAAATGTGACAGGACTGACAACGGTGAAGACAGTACACAATGGTTCAGATATATTGGTCAACGTTGGGACGCGACGTCCTGGAAAGAGGCCCATTTGGCAACGATTTCTTATTTGAGGAAAACATTGAACAAACTGGCAGGGAAGATCGCATAACGCCCAAAGAGGAAACTGATGAGTCCCCACCGAACAAATCGGGAAACTGTTAAAAGAACAAAGACAGCTGGAAAAAATTTATCTCAAACAAAATACAATATCATATGACCAAGTAGGAAAATTCAATTAAGTTGAATATGTTTGTAACAAAATATGAATTTAAATTTAATAAATCAACACCGACGATACATCAACCCTAAACATCAATACAAGGAACATTCGCTTCCAACTTCAATGTCTGTTTATACAGCAGAACTAATTGCGATAGATAGCGCTCTCGATTACATACGAAAATTAGGTGATACTAAATTTTGTGTCCTCACAGACTGTCGAAGCATTGTAGAAAGGATAAATAACATTACCCCAGAATATAAATGCAGAAACTATATTTTTGCCCAAATCTGTAGGAAAATGCTTGAGACAAAAATCATGGGGAAAAGGGTGGCATTGTGTTGGGGGAAAGGACATGCAGCCTTATGGCAAAATGAAACGGTGGACGCACTTGCAAAGGAGGCTGCAACATCAGGCCCAACCCTTGACATTAAAAATCCTAAAGATGACGGCAAAAACTTTTTGGAAAAGTTTAGTAGAAATCGGTGGCAAGAAAAATACAACGAATCAAATGTAGGCAATTATTACAGGTCACTGTTCCATGAGCTCAAGAAAAAATCATGGTTTTCGGAAGGCGATAGCCCAGAAGGAATGTCAAAGGAGTTCTATTCTACTANCCCTCTTTTAATAATGAAAAAAGTAAGATTAAAAAAATTGAAAATATATTTGTTTTACGAGGGTTTGCAACAGCAGAGGTTATAATCAACCCTCGAGGTGCCGGTGTTTTTGAAAAAAAGCCCATTTGTAAGTATGTCGAATGCAGCCCCTCTAGATTCGAACCCGTGACCTTTACCTTACAGTGAAGGGCGCCGTGTCAACGCCTAAACAGTTGCGGCCACCGACGCCCCTGAAAATATTCCAGAAATATTGATTGAAATTGGCTTTCTATATAAAAATTTTAACGTAACATTCCTTGTTAAAGAAAGCAATTTTAGACAGCCTTTTTGACAAAAAAAATCTTCAATGTATATCATGACGATAATAAACGCTGAAAATACATGAATGCATAGTAATTCTTTCAAATGCTGGATAATTAATGAAAACAATTCTGCATCGTGGTCATTAATTGATATAAAATAGCATTACATAAGAAAAATTATTTAAAAATTCCCATTTCTGATTTTTTTGTGATATTTTTCCGTGTCTGGGAAGTGATGAACCCCGTTGATCCAACAGTGTAGTTGGACCAAAAAACATAGCGAGTATAGACAACGAAAAGATCGAAATCTACTAAATTTCAAATGGTGTTTTGTTTGAATGAATTATCGTAGGATAAAATAAATATATGTTGGTTGATAAAATAAATATATGTAATAAATATCGGATAAAACTGAAACCGCGAATTACGCAAAAATGGTGAGTAAAGAAATCATCAATAATATAAAAGACGTATTACCATTTTTTAGGCAATGTCCATATTCCACCTATAACAAATACAGCGTGACGCTGGCCCGAAGAGAGAGGGAGGGAGCGAAGAAACAAGGAGAGAGGAAAAGACGAGGAGAGTTATGACCGGTACCGGCGTGAAGAGTTTTTTTTTTTTTTTTTTTTTTTTGAAAAGAAGATTATTTACTCTTCTTCAGACATCCTTTTGTTCCAGGATCATACAAAGAGGACTACGTTTCACACATAAGAGTCTAATATCGAAAATAGTGTTTCCTCGACTTCGAAATCATTTTTTTTCTCTACAAGATCAGCGAGGGAAGATTATCCTTCAACTTTAATTTGTCATTTTTCCCAAATTTAATTAACCTAAGATATTCAGAAACGATAATTCCATAATACATATACATAATATTTTGTGTGCACACATTAATTACCTTTCTTTTGTATTTTGTTTGTTGTTTTTGTTTTGTTAAAAAAAAAAGAATTCAGAGAATCTTTGTCATTATTATTGAGTTCATTATACAATTTCTCAAGTAGAATGAAGTATTTTTTTGATATTAAAATATATAACTCCAAGTAGTCATAGTTTATCTATTTCTAAGTTATCCATTTCCCTTAATATTGGGTTGTCCGGAAAATAATGCAGGATTTTGGTATTAAACAAAAAAAAAGAAACTAGTTACTTTAAAGCAATGTTCTTTAATCAAAATAATTTCCCATACTCTCAATACATTTCTCCCAACGTGTTGGTAACTTATTAATTCCGNTAAATTACATTATATTAAAAATTATACACCTTCATAAAAGTTCTTATTTTACCGGATAAGTTTTTGAAATACAGTTTTTACCTATTTTTATCCAATTCAATAGTAGATTATCTATCAGATAACAGGGCGAAAACTAGAATTCCGCCAAATGTATAGGGTTAAGTATTTCTCCAATCTAATTTATTTTAAAGAAACTCTGACAATTCTTCAAACATTGATAGATTTGAAATTTATGGAGATATTGATTGGTTGTGTTAAATTTTTGATGATTTGTACAAGAAACTTCGCATCAGTATAAAAGAGGAATAATCGGGTAGTACGTAATGTTTGTTTAGCCGCCATTGTTTTTTCAGAATGGGTTATGATACTTATGATTCTTTACCTTACACACCTCACAATGTGTAATTCCCTAGTATGAATAAAGTGCAACGAGTTGTTAGACTTCTAGGGTGTTTTTTATGAAAAAATTAAAATACAATTTTAACAATTACAATAATAATTGTAATTTTTTTTACTAATACTATTATTTTAATAAAAGGAAAAATTTAAAACTAAAAGGCACTGTAAGGGAAACAGAATTTATTCAATCCAATTATTTCTTTTTTAAAATTATATTTTACACTCTTTTTTCTTTTAAATTGAATCTTCAAACTTAAATTTTTACAAAAAAATAAAATCGATTCTTCTTGAAACAATATAAAAAAAACTTAAAATATATTTAAGAAGTATTTAAACTATTGTTAAAAATAAATGAATTCATATTTACGTATGCGCAATCCGCAAGGAATAAAATTAAGGAAATATGGAATAGGAAAAAACTCACAAGATGAATGCCGTTTTCCTGATGTTTTCTCATAAGATGATTCTTCACAAGCCAAGTTGAAGCAGCTACGTTCGAGGTGGTTTGTTCGCAGTCTCCCAATGGAAAAGAATCCTGTCCTCCGCCTATCAGCCTTTCTGCCCTCTTGTCTCCCACGAGTTCCAAAGTCCATCGCCTCCTTCACGTTCATATCAATTTGTTTGTTGCAGAGTAATGTATCACTTTCCTTTTATACCCTGTCAAAATTTATTTTTAAAAAGAAGGGGTATTCTCGATGTCTGTAAGATGTTAACTCGTGTTAACTCGAATAGACAAATGTCCAGTAAGATCGTGAACGCCCCCTTCTTTTATGTTATGTTAAACATTAATTTTTCTGCAATGCGTAGCGACTGTTAGAACCAAAAATAAAGTTATAACAGTCCTTGAAGGCTTGTTGTTTGTTTTGTATTAAATTCTAAGATGCCAGAAGTTAGTAAAAAAGTAAAATTAATCAACTCTTTCATTCAAAATGATATCTATGCACTCGAAAAGTACTAACAAAAGATACGCATCAATTCATGCCGATATACACATGTAAACAGCTGTTAAATTCATGACTGCCATATTGGTTACCTACGCCCTAACGGTAGCAATGTGACTACATTTTCGACCTAACATTTAACATTTTCCCTGGCCTGTTAGATGTTAACTTGCCGATTCTTACAAGTCTACGTCATCATGTTTCTCTTTCTAACAAGACCTAACAGAGTTAATGGAGTTAACATAAAAATCGTGAACATCCCTAGAATCTACTTTTCAACTGTTACCGAGAAGGATACCTACAATCTGCTGTTCATATGTCAAAAATCCCAACCAAAGAAAATAAAATAAATAGTTAATTCTTTTTAAATCATTTTGATTTGGCTTATTGAGCTGTTATAAATAAAGTAGAGTTTTTTCCTCTAATCCTTTTAAAGCATGAAAAATAGTTGCTCATCACTAAGCCAGAGCTTTTATATCGGCTATAAAGGCTAATATCGGCCAATGTTTTGGCCGAGATGGCAACGATTTTTGCCGTTTGGCCAATGAAATATGAACCCTCGCCTTGTTATGAGCGCATTGCTATTCACTCATCCATGTAAACGCTCCATTTAAATCTGCCTTTTTACCCGTCCACTGACGAAATTAACTACTACACTGAATATTTTATGAGAATGATCTAAAACCATAAAACCCACCCGTATGTGATAGCAAGGCGCGATCAGGAACAGTGACGCTGATTCCGCCCGAAATCTTTTCGTTTTTGCAACCTTCTTGTGAAGAGGAAGCGATCAGCGAACAAGCAATCCGAGACACGTGAGAAATATAAAAGACGGCCGCTAATTTTTTGCGAGTACTCTCAAAGGCGTGTCCACCAGCGAGTACAGCCCTCGAGAGTAAATTATTCTCAAGAGAACGGACACATTAATTCCTACAATTTAAAAACTCTTAATACGTGCATAAGGGGAAACAAAAATATTGCAGGTTGATTGGTTTGTCAGAAAAATAATGCAGGTTTACGGTTATAAAATATAAACAATTAAATAAATGATTTAAAACATTTTATTAATTAAAACACATCGGGGAGTGACATCGTTTGGGGTGAAAGTCCAACACTATAAAAAAAATTCTTGTATTCATTAAAAAAATTATCCTAGGTTAAATTTTTAGCGAAATAATTTTAAAAAGAAATTTCATCATTTCATTCGAAGCCAACAGACTCATTAATGTCAATGGTAAACATAATTACATAAAGCAGAACTTTTTGCAATATAAAAATTTATATATTATTTTTATAAACCACGTCTTACGCTCTCCCTCACTCTCTCTCTCTCTCTCTCTCTCTCTCTCTCTCTCTCACTCACTCTCACTCTCTCTCTCTCTTTCTCTCTCTCTCACTCTCACTCTCTCTCTCTCCCTCTCTCTCTCTCTTTCTCTTTCTCTCTCTCTCTCTCTCTCTCTCTCTCTCTCTCTCACTGGCTTTTTTATAACTTTCTT